GAAAATTTAGCAAATGGTATCAAGTAAAGATGGATGACCATTGAATGGTATGTTCAAGGATATAGCTTCTAGGCGATTCCTTACTTAGATCACAGCACACTGAAAACATCTTAAAATGTCTATTTATTCTATAAATGAATGCTATATGAAAAGCAGTATGCCAAATACAAAGAGATATAAAGATATGATCCTTGCTTTCCAAATGGTGAGATAAGACACGAACAAACATCTAAGAAATAAGCAGCAAAAATGTCATTTGAGTAATTTGGCTTGTGTTTGAAGTATGATGTTATGAAAAATATCTTCAAAAGGAGAAACACACTCAAACCTAATGAGATGTTCACTTTAGAGGCATGTGGGAACAGAGACGACTAACGACTGAAAGAACAACAGATTCATACATATTTTGTGCCCAAACCTAGGTATATGCACACTGGGTAGAATATAGCAGGTAAAAAAGACAGGTTATTTCAGTCATTTTTTTTTTCCTGTTAGTCACTCAGTATAAAAATTCCTCTAAGTTAAATGCAGATGTGATATAACTCCTAAGCACCTGAGTACTTGGGGTATTATCTCAAGTTCTCTAGGGACAAAAAATGAACAAGATATAGTTTTTTAATTCAAGGACCTCACAGTCTGGCAAAGGAAAGAGAATCAGTGTGATAAATGTTATAAACCAAGGAAGTACAAAATGATATGAGACTACAGATGACAGAAAGCCTTCCTCAGGAGGCTGGGGAGAATCTTTAGATGTTAACATTTGAGTTGGGATTTAAAGGCAGTTTTAAACTCTCACTTGGCTGAAAAACATACCGTGCAAAATGCTCAGATTTAAGTGGTCCATAAACATTGCTGAACTAAAATGAGAAGGAACAGAATGAAAAGGCCAGAGTTGAGTAACTGGAACTGTAAGTAATCTGTTTAGGGAACAAAGTATAGAAAAGGAACAAATTTTATCTGTAGGCAATCACCTGATGGGACAGGATTAGGGAAGATCTGAGAAAAAGTACAACTGTCTTGGTTCTATACGGTTTAGCAGCACTTTAGAGATGTATCAAAGTTAGGCATTACCATCAACCAAAATCAGCTATTAGACTTCAAACTGCAGAATGCTTATCTTAACATCTTCTAGTATACCAGAAATTGTGAAGGATCAAAGATCACAGGTGTGTAAATTACCACCAATCTAATCAATATAACATTAATTGTAGAAGGTGGGTCCATTTGCATTAATACATGAATACTCAGTTTCAAATAAAGACCAACGTTCTAAATATACCAATACATTCAACAATTAATGACTGTGAAAGTTGTTAATTTTACAAAAATAAAAATTTACAAAATCTAAATACAGAACTATATTGATAGAGTACAACAGATAACTTTAGGAAAAGTATTATGCCTTTTAAAGCTATCAAGTTTATAAAATTAATGCAAAATTAGACAATAATTCTAATCTTTTTGAAGTTTTTGTATATTAACATTAGATAATAAATTGAAAGAAGAATGCCAACTGTCAGTTCAAAATTTTATGCATCAAGAAAAAGTCTAACACCCATTAAAAATCATCTTTCATACAAAGAATATAGAGTATGAAGGAAAAACATATTTTATAGAAAATAAAGTTTGAAAAAAATGTACTCCCCTACCAACATTAGCTAAAAACGACCATCTACTTAGTACTGCAAATAGGTAATAAGTATAGTGACTACAGAAGTAATTCAGTAGCTGACAATGTGCCACTAGATCAAAATTTGTATCCCAGAAAATTTGTTCTGTAATGGTGATGTTAAGTATCGGTCTCAATGATTTTAACACCTGGTCATCTAACCAAAATTATAGTCAGCACATTTTTAATTTCAGTAGAGATGAGGGCAAGGGAAAAAAAAAAGTTTTCAGAAGAAATGCCTGAACAAATAAATGTTCAGAGATAGAAAGCACAAGGTACATTCAAGAATGGTTAGGTAGTCCAGACTAGCTAGAGCACAGAATATGTAAAAGGATTAAGATGAGGCTGTATATATTAAAGATCAGACTGAAAAAGACTTGGAAAGAATATGAACTTGTCCTGCAGGCAAAGAAAGAGAAGGCACCAGAAAAGCAGTTTGCATGAAGACTTCTATCAATAATCAGTGTTTTACTATGGCTATAAAGACATACAAATTACATACTAAAAGTGAAAGATATTAGGGTGAGATGGCAGAAAGCTAAACACTAAAAGGCGAAGAGTACATTTAACATTCTGGGTAGGCCACTTAGGTTGACAGGTCATCCTTCTGTCCCTTGGTTTTCTCATCTATAAAATGGGCTTAAAATAGTTGTACATTTAACTGACTAGATCATTGTGAAAATTAAGGGAAATCATTATGTTCGCTGCTTAGGACTGATCTATTTTTTAAAAAATCTTTAGTAAACAGTAGCTCTATTTCTATAGAAACTTGTCATAATAACTCATGGGTCCTGTGAGCTAGGGGACCAGAAAGTTTTTCCAAATGTTATGATATCCTTCAGTGGATTCTAGGATTACAGCAAAACACCCAACAGATTCAAAATTCTGCTTTAAGAAATTATGTAAAATGGGTGGAAAAAGAATGGAGGTTGGGGGAGACCTGAAAATATTAGTGCAGAACTAAAATGTTCTTACTTAGAAACATCTAGAAATCTTCCCAAGATCTCATAGCTTGCTACTGACATGAAGTAGTTTTTAAACTGCTTATCTTTTTGGCTCCTAAGGATATCAAAGTTTATTATAGGCTAGTTTAGAAATGGAATTTTTTTTCCCAAGGGAGAGGCACAGGAAAGGAGTGTTTACTTTCTGTGAAAATGGAATAAAATGAAGTTTTTAAGTTTTGAAGCTTAAGAAAAATTAAAATATGTTCTAATTAGTGAAAAGTACGTAACTAATGAGGTCTTTGGGGGAGGGTATTATTATATTCACAGTCGTCTACCTATTCTCATATAAAACAGTATTTAATGTGTTTACAGAAGCAGTATGGAGTTTGAACTAAGAAACTTTAGTGCTAACTACCCCACTATTATAGCTTTGTTACCTCAAGGATATTAATTTATCTAATCCTTAGATTTCTTCTAATAAAAAGGGGGATATAATTGTGAGGTTCAAAGGATACAATGATATTGCTTCTCTTTGGAATATCCTCCCCCTGCTCTCAGCCCAATATGTCTAGCTGACACTCATCTTTCAGGATCTATTCCCTGATAACTCCATAGAAAAGTTCCTTAACTTACTCCCAGATTCCTTCAATACCATCATCCTTCTATCTAATAAAATGTTTTTATATACTCTAATAGCACTCTGGATTTCTTCTTTCAGAGCTTTTACTGCAATGACTGTAATGGCCTATTTACCACTCTGTCTTTCCTCTAGATTTTAAACCTCTGGAAGGCAAGACTCATTTTTCATCTTTGTTATCCTAGTACCAGATATGCAGTAGTTTTTTTTTCCCCAAATGCTAGTTGAAAGAATGACTAATGGGTGTGAAAACACATTAGAAAGCATAGACTGCAGTTCATGTAGCTGATTTTAGTGCCTTGAGCCTATGGCTTTTGGGGATTCATGTGCATCTGAATTAACAGTAATTCCTTAGGCATGATTATCCATAATACTATTTAGCAGATGATCACAGATCTGAGAAAGATCTGTTTTTATCAAGTGAAAGAAAAACTAGCAATACTTAATGCTCATTGAACCCTCTCGACCCCCAAAAAATGGGCAAAAAAAGAAATGAATTTACTCAGTTCCTTGCAGAAAAAGGAAATATAAAAGGCCTTTTAAATTTATATGGAGTGAAAGTGAAGAAAAACTCTGATAAACTTCAACTTGATGAAAAAAACAAATGCCACTGAATAGTATTTCCTATCAAATATGAAGGATTCAATTAAAACAAGCAAATATAATAGGAAGTAATGACAGATTTGCCATACACCAAATTGGTAGCAGAGCTGAGATTCCAAGTTCATATTCTTTCTACTATCTTAATGCTACCTAGTATACATGAAGTTCTTTCTATATGGAAAGCACTGTGGAAAGGGCTGTGTGAAGAAACAGATGGGGGCTTAGGGGACTGGGTGAAAAAGATAAAGAGATCAAGAAGTACAAATCAGCAGTTACAAAATAGTCATGGATATGTAAGTACAGCATAGAGAAGAGAGTCAATAATATTGTAATAACTATTTATGGTACCAGGTGAGTACTAGACTTACTGGAGGGAATCACTTCGTAAGTTATATAAAGCTCTATCCACTACCACTGTATACCTGAAACTAATATAATATTGAATGCCAATTGTAACTGAAAAAATTTTTTAAATAAAAAAAAAAAAAAAATAGCTAACAATCCTGGATAAGAATTTGCTAGGCCTATTACTACACAAAAATCACAGACATGAAAATTTAATCCATTTTCTATGACCTAAAATTGTTATCTATAGTTTTATCTATATAATTTTTAAAATTTGGTGCTCCATCAAAATATTTCAATTAGATTAAAAGAAGTAATGTCACTAACCTAGGACATCTCAAAACAAGACAAGAAATAGTTTACAAAAGCCAAATTCTATCCTTACAAAAATATATGTAAGACAGGAAAGAAAAAACCTTAGGAGTTTGTTTTAAATAACCTTAAAGGAAAATCCATTTCTTAAATGCCAATGATACACTAAGAGACTTCTGCTATATTAGGACTCACAAATGACTAAACATGGGGCCAGTACAGGTGGTAATATATCTTTTTAAAACCCTCAGAAGACTTGTATTTACTGAGTATCTGCTTTCTATAGGTATCCTTGCCAGACCATTTTCTTTTCTGGAAAAATGGTATCAATTCCACCCAGACCTCAAGTTGTGTGGTATTTTACTTGTCATAATTTCTAGAGGGAAATAGGCATATTTAGGTTGAGGTGACAACTACAGGTATTAGCTTTGGAGATGACAAGATGAATATTGGCTTTCCATAGAAACTTTCAAGGTGAATATTTTGGGCTATAACTTTATAGATATTTAATTTAAAGGGGTGGATTGAAGAAGATCTTAAAAGTAAAATCAATGTTGCTACCAGGTCTTATCTTTATTATAAAATTAACTGACTATTTTATAAGCAGGAGAAATCCATCCTTCAAAGAACAAACTAAGCTAATCAGTCTCACCAACTTATAGAAAAATTTCCATTATGAAAGTAAACTTTGTAAGGGTAGGCAGCATTTTATATACCATTGTATTTCTTATATGATTGGGGGTTCAGATTAGTTGACTTAGATTTTTCGCTAGATCTTCATTTTAGTTTTGGTAGTCTATTATTTTTTGAAGTGAAAGTAATAGATGGAGGAGGCAAGAGAACTAAATGTTAAATCAAGCTGTATTCAGAGCCTATACCTTGTTGCTGCCAGACCAGGGGAAACCTGCAAAACAGAATATTCCTACTGGGATTACTAACAAATCATTTACCCATACCATGAAGAGAAAACAAGAAAAGTCTTTAAATTGCACTCTACCTAAAATAAACACGATCTCTTATTCCCTAGGCTAACACCATGGAGAACTTATAGATCAAAGGCTAGCCTGCCTTTCTCACTACATACCCTTGTTTTTCATATTGTGTACTCAAACCATCGAAGGAAAAAAGGTAAACAAAGTCTTTAAAATGTAATTTATAGAAATTAAGATTGATATATAAACTGAATTCCCTAAACACTCGGGGTGTCTTTGTCTCTGTCCTTCTCATTGCCTTTCCTCTCTGTCCCTCTTGGCTCTCACTCTGTCTCTGAGAGGAGACCACACTGTCTACGGAACATTACCCCTTCTCTAATAAATTTTCCTTTTGACTTTGACTCTGGTGTGTGCT